TTTTTTTTTTCTGCTTCAGGGGCAGATGTTCAACTGTGCAAGTGAAGAAAAAAATTTTTCCCTTCTTTACAAAAAAAAAAAACAAAAATAAAACCGAACCTAAAAGGTTGTCGAGATGTGTTTGAGCGTCAAACCGCCTGACATTTACGAGCCTGACCAGTCACGAGGTTGGAGGGATCCGCTTTGTTCCTCCTCCTCCTCCTCCTCCCTCTGCTGCCGAATTCTTGTAGGTGCACAGATGACAATTTTACTGGGTGTTGACACAAATGAGTGATGTAAAACATTGTCCAAATTTTGGGAAATTTGTAAAGAGTTGTTAAAATTTAAACCATATGAAAATCTTAAATTCACAATACACTAATGATAATGACAACTGCAAATGTAAAGGCTACACCATTTTCGCCATTACCTGAGGCAGTTGGCGTAGACACCGGTCGTGAAGGCGATTGACTGGTCTGACAATCAGGAGAGCAAATTCTTCAGTTAAAAGATCAAGCCTTGAAAGGTGATGATTGTTTTGCTTTTTTGTGGATCGAGACTCTGTCTTCACGTCGCCTAGACTTTTTTTATGCCCGTCACAACCACAGGAGGCCAAGTAATGCCTCCTTTTGCCAAAGTTTTTATTACCATCACTGTAGGCACTGATAATGCAGGCTAATCAGCATTAATCTTTGGCATAAATGGCGGCATTTCTCCTCTCCTTCTTCGCCTTGTGTCGACACGCCTCACATCTCTCAAGTGTCTACCCAACCAGACGTCCCTTTCATCCCCAAACCACCTCCGAGGCTGACAAATGTTGAGCTTCGGATATGAAAATCCTTCCTAGGCACTCTGAGTGAAAAAACTGCTTGAAATGAAAATTTTGGGCATTCTTTGTTCCTCCTTTTCTGTAGCTCCTAACAATGATAGGCTACTTGCATTGCAGCGAAATGCTTGACAATGATTTGTGCATTAAAAGACAATTTTGTGTGGATTTAATGATCTGTCTGTTGTAAGTAAGTGAAATATTACGTCTACAAATTTTACCGCTCATCAAAAAGGCTTCCTTTTTATTGTTGTTTTTGTTGTTGCTGTTGCCGTTTACAGCCCATTGATGGGCGTCGGGTTGTCCGCCTCCGTTTGCGTGGAGGCAAATTCGTGTTGCCACCGAGGGGCAATACTTGTGTAATCCCTAAAAATGCGTAATAAATTTCAGTTATGCCATGTAGAACACACACAACCAAAAATACAACCACTCACCTCCGTCTGGGAAGCGGAGCTGTTGGTTAGACGTCCAATTTTGCCTCAAATGCTAATGACAATTTGGTGTGAAAGCAAATTTCGATCCTCAAAGAGGTTAAAATTGTGGAATGGAAAGGAAAGGTGGCAGTAACGAAAGGTAAAAGTCACTTGACTACATGCAAGGCGACGAACAGGCAGTGGACACACAATATGACCCCCAAAATCGGCAAAGACATGACAACAAGGCGTGTCGGGTGGAGGGGATGGAGAAGGGGGACTTGCAACTACACACTCGCCTCCAAGTAACCGTCAAAAATTTACTCCAAGATTGAAAGTTGCTTCTCGGAGTGGTGCCCTCTTTTTTTGCTTTCTTTTTTACTACCCAATCACAACTTTTATAAAGCACATTTTAAACTAAATGAATAATAGGAGAAGGAAAGGAATGTCAAAAGCTTTGAAATGCACTTAACGGCATTAAAACTTTCCCACCGACAAACCACCACAAATACTGCCACTCTCAAGGACATCTCACTTTATTTCCACCAAAAAAAGTTGATTCTTTTTTTTTTCTGCCACGCATGTGTAAGTGGAGTGTGTGAACTTTTACCGAATGCGACCACTTCGACTTGTTCTTCGCATTGAGTGGATTGGAGGAGGCACTGCTGCATCCACTTCGTGTGATACAAATCAAACATACACAATAAAATGCCTTTTATGTTATGCAATTCACACAAACTCACCGAGTACGCGAAAGGACACATGCGCTTCAGTAGGAGAGAAGGGCATTACTGTCTCCTCCTATCTTCTCTATTCATCTTCTCCTCTTTAGGGTTATTATCACCTCGACTCTGCAAAATTACCTTCTTAGCGCTGTCATCCACGTGGAGGGAGGAGGGGGAGGAGCAGGAGCAGAAGGAGGAGGAGGAGGAGGAGCAGGAAGAGGAGGAGCAGGAGGTGAAGGAGGAGGAGCAGGAGCAGGAAGAGGAGGAGCAGAAGGAGGCGAAGCAGGAGGATGAGAAGGAACAGCAGGAGGAGTAGGTGAAGGAGGAGGAGAAGGAGGAGGTGAAGAAGGGAAGAAGGAGCAGCAGGAGGAGCAGGAGCAGGAGGTGAAGGAGGAGGAGGAGCAAGAGAAGGAGAAGGAGCAGGAAGAGGAGCAGTAGGTGAAGGAGGAGGAGAAGGAGCAGCAGGAGAAGCAGGAAGAGGAGAAGCAGCAGCAGAAGGAGAAGAAGGAGGAGTAGGAGCAGAATAAGCAGGAGGAGGAGCAGGAGGTTAAGAAGGAGGAGGAGCAGAAGAAGGAGGAGGTGAAGGAGGAGGAGGCAGAAAATCCAACACCATTTGTTGTCGTACAAGTCAAATTCGTGTAAGGAAGTCCCCACCGGAAGTAAACTGTTGTAGCTGTAACCCTGTCATCGGAGAAAGAGACAAAGTGTGCTATTGTTCCTTCGACTGCTTCCTTCTCTTCTCCACTGGACTCCAACCTATCGTCGTCAGTTATACGCAAATCATCGTAGAAAAGGTGTTGACCTTTGGTAGACCTTCGGTGTGTTGGATACAAACATTTACAACACTTGTGATCACCGTCAGTGCAATCAGCGTCTCTGCCATCACCTCAGAGAAAAGGACAAAGTGTGCTATTGTTCCTTCGACTGCTTCCTTCCGCCCTCTCTTCAGTGTTCCAACTTGCAATCGTCAGTTACACGCAAACTATCGCAGGCCATGACAGTGGAAACGTGTTGAATTTGCGGTAAACTGAAGTTGGCAGTCCTCGGCGGGTTGGAGACGAACATTCATACCATCGTGACAATCAGGACGAATGTGAAATCGAAAATGACCACCGTTGGTACAATCTGCGTCTCTGTCATCACTTCCACCATTTCGATGATGCATCGATCATCTTTACAACACAGCGAGAAGAGCCAAATCCGATCAGATAAGACACAAAGGATGCAAACAATGAGCAGAGGACTCAAATAGCCATTGTGGGTTGATGATTCGTCGAGTTTGTGCACTCTTTCCCTTTGCTGCTGTTTGATCCCCTTTCAGTTCGCCCAAACGCGGTGCTGTCGGTGGGTTACCGTCAACATCATTTAATGTAGTCTCAAATGCAGATGCTATCGCGAGTAAATATGAGCGGAAAACGACTTTGGTGGAGAGAAGGTAAATTTTCATTCCGTAAAATGGCATCATTCCCAGTGAGTGAAAATCTAATGCCACGATGGAGGGGATGCAAGAGCCATTCAGCATTAGCAATGGAGTTGGGGTTACAATAGACGCACAATGGGATCGGAGTGGAGTGAGGATCATTCGAACGCCTTGATGAACAAGTCGGAGGTGACAAAAAACGCCTGTACTGACCTGTATAATGTGGCGCAGTAGATGGGAGGGCGATTCTTCTCAATACAGTGCAATAAAGTTGAAAACACTTAAAATTAATCCGTTATGGTAGAGTCTCGATGTGGATTTGACAAATCCCAACTTACCTCTGCGCGTTTGAATCGACTTCCCTTTCGATTGGCACAGCTCGAGATTCGCGTCGTCTACTTTTCACCTTTATCCTCCACCTGCATGAAGATGGTGGATTTGGTGGGGTCCGCGCGAGAGTTTCTGGATTTCTGTGATCCTAAAGCCCACAAGACTGATCTAACTCTGCAATCTTGATTAAAGGCATGATTATCAACCCACAATTTCTGTTAACAAAACACTCCATTTTGGCTACATTTTACACTGGCATTTTTGTCTGCCCCACTTTTGTGGTTACCAGACGGAAAGGCGACTGAAAGTCTTCGCTGTCTAGGCGA